CAATACATCCCTTGCCCTTTAAGTAGGGAAAAAGATAAGTAAATTACAAGGAAAATTATTTATATAATTAAAATTATAGGTTAGTTTAATTATTAATAAACATAAATTAGGCAATTAAAAGGTTCTTAATTAAAAATCATGATGCATGTGCAATTACATATCCCCAACACTATATGGAAACAATAGTTTGAATGTTGTATCTGTTGAAACTCATTGGAATTATAAATACAAAATATAATTAATGGATTAAAATGTCTGATTATTTATATTCCTTGTACAAAGTATAATCTGTATTTCATATTTTTTTGTTCAAGTTTGTATATATACTTACTAAACTAAAAAAAACATTTGGTTTTAACTTCAGAAAACAGTAAAGGTACTATTATACTACCACCATGTTCTGAGTAAACCGTGTGGTTATCATATTACTATAAAATATACCAAATAGTCTAAAATATTCAATTGCTCCAAAGCATAGTTATTAATGATTAGACAAATACCTAAACAGTGAAAGTTAATCTTTCAAAATAAACAAATTAATTGATTAATTAATTTGGTAAATAAAAAGAAAATTCTGAACATAAACCCGAGATAAACCAAACTGTCCATATGAAAAATGATGATGAAATTAAGTGATTGAATAATATTTCAAAGAATTTATGTATTTTAATAAAACAATGTAAATACCTATTTTGTGCATATTTTAAATACTGACTTAAAAAAGTATTGATTTTTTTGTTTAAATAATCTTTAAATCAATCTACTATGAGAGAAATCAAAAAAAAATGTTTATGAATCCAAAACTCATACTCTCATTCATATCTTATCATATACAATATTGCGATAAACAAAAAGTACAAAATGATAAGTCTGGAATACGGGGGTTTTATGCATAATATGTTACTAGTATAATTATTTATGTACATAATTTAATTTAAAAAAATAAGATAAGTTGCAAAAATGGCCTAGCCAAATTATATTATTGGATGTTTCTATCTACTAATCTAAACCATTTATACACAATATTTATAAGTAATGGTATACATTGAATTTATTAAGTCTATTCAAAAGAAGTAATATAAACTTAAAGGAGGTAATAAAGCCCGGATCAAATTATATAGGTACAACATTATAAAAATTACAATGACTTTAGCTTAATAAATATTACAAATAATTACAATTGTATGAATTTAATAATTATTAGAAATATATTGTATAATTGAGCCATACCTATATCAAGAATCTAAACATATTTTAATCATGTACCTCCATATTAAGTCATACTTAGAAATTAAATACATGATATTGTTTAAGATAATTCAAGAACATATGAAGTATCATTATTTTTGATAAATACTATGCCAAGAAAAAAATTATTCATTCAAATAACAAATACTATGGATGCTAACTAAATTATGTTTAACATAAGCTTACTGGAACATAACTAGATTATTTATTTTTCTAATTTAAAATTAAAATAATACATTTAGGTAACGCAACATAAATACAATTGCACCATTGACTAGATTTCCATTTTAATAAATTGACAAATGACACAGTTAACACATTAATATCAAAACCTATAATAATATTATCAATATGTTTCATAGATACCTACTAAGATTTAAAAAAAATTAAGTTTGTGTAAACCATAAAAAATTTTCATCATATGTATTTAAAATACAAATAAGTTTTAAAAAAATAATGCACTAAGTATAAGTTTATATCTTTATATGAAGAATTATAAGTTAAACATTGAGTTATTATCTCAATAATTGAACTTATTGTTTGTATTTGTTCTATTAACAAATCTAAATTAGTATAATTTTCAATTACCCTTTAAGTGTAATTTGGAAAAATAAAAAATCAGTCTCAACATAATTTAAGGTAAAAATGTGTCATTATTTATGTGAACTAATTTCTCAATTTATAGGAATCATTTATTTTACTATGAAATAATTCACAAAGGATTTTTATACCAAGAATAATGATAAACTACTAAACTTTTTATTAAAAACAAAAATACAAAAATAATGAAAATTGTAACAAGCTTTTAATAGATTAAAATATAAAAATAAAATATTATAAAATATTTAAAGAAAAAATAAAAATAAACTAAAATGTATAACATCAACAACTTTTTTTTCTACAGAAAAATTTATTTATCATTAAATACATATACAATGTTATATGCATTTATAAACTAATATGCAAAATCCAATTTTGCACTTGAATTTGGTATAATACAAACCATAGATATTTCAAACTCCCATTGAAGTGCATACACAATGTACAAACATACAAATGCATATAATTCTGAGCTCTACATATTATAACAAATAGGATGGTCTCTGAACATAACATGGAAAAGAAATATAACATTAAAAAAAAAACATAAATACACTAATTTTAAGTGCTGAGTATAAAAAATTATGTTGAGGTCCAATGAAGATAGCATATTAATATCAAAACATTCAAAACATACTAACATACTTTTTTTAGACATACCAATAACTAAATTCTAAGAAAAAAAGGTTTTAAATCATCTATTTTAGAAAAACTAAATTTCTAATTTATTTAATATGAAAGTTAAAATATAATTTAATATCAAAATAAATGCCTAAACTGATGTTGAATAACAAAATTAATAACTAAGTTATGTGTTAATACTGTTAATATACCTACCAGCTTAATTATAATTAAAATATTTAGAAAATTTTATAATATTAAGCTATCCTCACATGTGTTGTCTCCCTCTTACTAAAATATAACATACCAAATTTGTCATTAAATAATTAAGCTAATATATTATTACTCATTAGATATAATATTAGAGTAAATTTAATTATAATTTAAAGATAAGAACTTATGCTTAACATTGGTTTTTTAGTTATTTTAAATTTTAAGTAAGATATTAATATTGTAAATATTAATAGTTAAAAATACTCATCTCTAGCTTAAAAATTAAAATATCAAAAAAGCCAATAGTTAAGCAAACTGATAATGTTCTTACCTTTAACTGGACCTTTAACTTTGATAATAGATCAATTTGCTTTTATATTAAATTGAAAAACACAAAATTGATTCTACTGATCACAAATTTGTTACGTTGTATGTTTATAACACAAATACAACAAATGTGAAGGCAGTATCCTCTTAGGTTTCTAAAAATTGAATTAATAAATTGTTAAATATATAACACTTTATAAGTTTCTATTATTATTTTTCTTCATTAATTTGGTGATCACTACTCATTTTGAACAAATTGGAAGGTTTATCTCTCGGTTTATCTTGAGTTAAGTGACAGTCTAATTATTTTATTTTTGATTCAATTCTAAAAATGCTGTTTGTAACTTAAAGTGCTCTGGATTAATTATAGGACGTATTAAACGATAATTAAGTATTATGCTTTATAATTTATAGTTATAGTTATGTAGGTATATTGATGGTTTAATATCAGTCCTATATAATCACCCCTTTTCTTAAAATAGAACTCTTTCTCTTAGTAAAACAATATGTAAACATTTATCCAAATACCGAATATAAGAAGTACATAATAGATACCTATGTTATACAATGAAAAACATTATCAAATTCTTAAACCACTATAGGTATCTATTAGCTTAATTATTTTATTAATTATCATATGAAATGGTATTTACTCATTTAAATTGTTTTCTGTCAGTATACATATTTTATAAACTTAACTACCTCCAGGCAAATGTTTTTGGTTAACTAGACAAAAATAGTGTAACATAATAGTTAAATTAGAATAATGTTGCAAATAAGCAAATTACATTCTAACATTTTAATCTATAAGTGATATAATTTTCCTATGCAATTAAAATCCACTCAAGTATAATGTTCTTAATATAACACACAATAGGTTGGTTAACCACATTAAAATAAGAATTATGTTTAATAAATTATCATTTTATCTACAAGTTTCTTACTGTTTACAGTAGGTACTTCAAAATAGTTTTAAAACTATAATATGAAACTCGATTGGCTCCAACTGTACTAGAATAAATACTTCTCAGTCATATTATTTCTTATCATTATTTTTACAGACAATATAAATTACTAATCAGACAAAAACCAACTAGAAAGTTATTCACCCAAATTGGTATGAAAAAAAAGAATTAATATATTTGAATTATGTTATTGACATAGTTTATTATCCTAATATCAGAATGAACTAACAAATGTCTAACAATAATTGGACTAAAATATTTAGATGATTAATTTGCAATTCAAATCATGATCTATTATCTTTATCTAGCTTACCTACACAACATAAATAAAAGATGGGCTAATGGATAAAAGATGATCATCTTGTTCAAACCAGACGCCATGGACGGTTTGCGAAAAGTTTTAAAATGATTTAGTCACAAAAATGATTATAGAACGCTATAAAAAGCAAAGAAATCTTAAAATGTATAATAGTTGAAAAACACCACCAAACTCAATTTGTTTTCTTAAACGCGTATGAGTATTTAACCTCTGAACAGCTCAACGTTAAAACTAATTAATATAGGTCTGTAATTAAACAAATATTTTAATAAACTCAAGAGATTAAAGTAATCCTAACATAGTTATAATACGTTATCATCCAAAATTAAGGTGATAATAATAATAACAATAACATAAACTTTACAACTATGACAATTTCGTAATTTGTCCATCAAAACAGGCAAGCTTTAGTTTGTTGATATAAACGAGTAGAGCATAAGTGTGTTCTCTTATAAACATATCTATATATAGACCCTAAATCATTTCACGGACCGAGCACTCATCGGAAGCGAACGCATAGTAAGAGAAGAACGATATTGATCAATCAATACACCGTACGAGACGAAACTATATATCAATAATGATATGTGACACCCATAACGATCACCGGGCCGTGACCTCGTTGGTCGCACAAACGAGCCCTCGGGACACTGAGCGGTTTAGTTATGATTTTTTTGGTTATTGTCTTGTCATGGTTAGCGTTTTACCTTCGCTTCTCTTTGGGCTTTTTGTTTTCCATTGCAAAGGCGGCGGGCGCGCAACAATGAACCGTGCACAATGCGCCACTACTTGGTTCGGGGGCCGTCGTCTGCCGACGACGCGACAAACTTTCACGGGAATACGCGTCGTGAAACGCTGTGGAAATATTACACGATCAGACAGCGGCAAACGGTAATTAACTGTTGCAGAAATAATAATTATAATGATTGTGACGATAATATTCTAAAACACTGCTATCGTCCACACACCGAACGTGCGGGGATAAACCTATAGCGAGAACGATTTCGTCGGGACTCGCGCGCGAGCGCGACAGACAACGAACACGAGCGTACGGCAATCGCGAGAGCACTGACAGCGGGCGGCGGCGGTAAAAGTTTCGGTCACCCTTCCATGCCCCACTCCACACCGCCAGCACGGCCAACGGTCGTAAACACGGTCGCAGTCTGATCGGAGCGGACGAGCTCGGACTTTTTAATTGCAATGAAATGGAAACCGGTTCCGGCCGCCCGCGGCGTGCTTTGAGCGCGTTGGTCGATTTTGTACAGTTTTTTTATTTTTTTATTCTCTTGATTACATCTGTCTACCGCATTACCCGTTCGTCAGATGAGACGACACTTAAGTCGACTCGTATGGTGGCAGGGGTGAAGACGTGTACCGCGTTTTTTTTTCTCGCGAAGACGACTATTTACAAATTTCACCAAGATATCGACAATCTTCTACGATCGATACAATGTGCATAATTCAGTTGTAGAAATGTAGATCATCGTGGTATATAATCGCGAGTTTTAGAGAGAGAAACGACAGTTACAAATCATCGCCGTTATGATTACGTGGCAGTCTACGTCACGATTATCTTTATTCGTTGTCTTTATTGTTATTGTTATACCTAGTGGTGTTGAACACGATCACAGGAGTACGACGAGATTTTAACTCTTACCGTAGTATACACCCGTCTACACTGAAGTACTCCACTTACCACTATGATCGTAATCGTTACATTCACGTGACTACTGAGTACTGACTAGTGCCTGCAACTTACAACTACACTACAATCTACAGTAGTGCTGTTTGCTAAACCACCCGTCAGGCGTCAGCTAACTGCTGGCTGCTGCTGATAACCGTGGAGTGACGAAAATCGTTCCGGTCCAGTGTTGCCAGTAACGTAATAATCACGGTCGCTGTGAAACTATGCCCTCTTGAAAAGTCGTGCGACCCATGGCGGCTATTTATTAATATTCTAATTTTCGACGAGCTCGTTCTAGTTACTTTTTATATTTTGGCCCGAGAACTACATAAAGAACTGAACATACAATTAATAACAGAAAAAAAAAAATTCGCTGAAAACGGCCGGTTGGAAGATAAACTATGCTAATATGATAGATGACATACTGACATTCGATTTTAATATAAATATGTATTTTATAGTAAGTACCTATATATATATAGTACCTGTTATACTGTTATGTTATATAATGGAAATTTTGGGGATGCTAAAATTGTATAAAGCTTACGAATAAATAATTTAAATAAAAGATTAATAACAAGTATAATTATCTTTTTTTTTCTTATGATATCGAGGACTGGAGGAGGAACCATGGTACCAGTACTTCTCCTAAAAGTATAATTATCTGTATTAAATCATTTTTTTATCTTTGCAAATATTAATAATATCTTCAATTTTATTTTTAAAGATATTTGCTATATCTTTTTAAAATTTAACAGTGATAAGTTTAAAAATAATTCTATTGTGTTATGCTAGTTCTTAGTCAATTTATATTCTTCGTATAATTAAATAGAAATAAATATACAAGTATAACTACCTATACATATGAAGTTATTCAGAGGTGCTAACAAAATATTTAAGGATATTAAACAGTAAGCACACCCGAGCATCCCATTCATTCCTATAGTTACGCCTATATATAGTTTTCTTACATATTATACTAAAAATATTTTACCTAACATCTATATTATAGGTTTGTATTTATTTAGGTAAAACAAACATATATTTTTGTATATATATACATATAAGTAATAACCTACATAATATAATACACGTGATGTGATGCATGAACCTCATTAATGATTCACAAAATGTTAGTTATGATAAGATATTATTATAACTTATAAAGATATAATTAATCTGTAGATATTTCATCATGATTAGATCTAAAATATAACACTACATTTTATGACGTATGTATATTTATTTAGTATATTAATTGTAAATTACACCTACCTACCTATATTATATACAATACAATAAGATTATCTTTTAAAATATCAATTTATATTATAAGAATTAAGAATAAATATAATTTTATATACAAATTAATAAAATTTATATTTTATTCATTATTTATACAATCATACACTAGTAAGTACAACAGTGAAGATACATATTTTTAAGATAAATATACCTATACTGTTATTGTTCTCTATAATGTATTTTTAAAATCTTTATATGTATACAGGTATACGTGATATTATGTCGATGTGCATAGTATGCACTATGCAATATCTGTAGGTACACAGTATGACCTTTATTATAACAATTTTTGAATAACACGCATTATAATGAATTATACCTACAGAGTGTCCCGTTTCCTACGATTCATTAGGTATACTAATTTAAAATCACGGAGTAATGGAAGTTCTATTATTTTGACATTTAAATTAATATTTTACAAAAAACACGCTGTATACCTGTATTTAATAATATTACGTATAATAAATGAATAACCTAGTTAAAAGATATTTTCTATCTTGATAGTAGATTTATATAATTAATGTTTTATACAATGTTTAGTTGTACGAACACATTAAACATTAGGTAATTAGTAATCGACGTTATTAATAAATAATAATATTAAGACATGTTTATACCAACAAATAATGATGCACACTTAATATATCTATTAATTATTATTATCTATAGGAACCTATAGGCTATAAGACTATAATATTATAAAATTTATTGTATTAAATAATTTATACACATAGTAATATAGATTTTAATAGTTATTTAATGTACTTCTTAATGCTACCATTCTTACCTACCTGTGTTAATATGAGAAGTAGGCAGTATAATTGAGTATCAATATTACTAAAATACTAAATAATTTAATTTGTTAACCAAATATTATACATATTTTATACTAAAGAATAATACATTTAAATAAATTTTCAAAAAAAAAAAAGTGATAGCTGGTAGGTCAACGGGATACCTATAAAATATTAAGCTGCGGTACATGTAGTAAACTCAGATATTTAATATAAATAAAATTATAAAAATATGTTATTAAACACTTCTGAGAAAATTACACCACTATAAATAGGTAATAAATTAAATACATAATTACATATAAGCTTACAATTATAAACATACCTAATAATTGATAAAATCGAGCGAAAAATATTTTAACATTTTTACTATTATTACCGTAGTCCGTAGGCACTTAATATTTGTGAATTAATTGTTTATACTTCTTATTTTAAATATACTAGATATTGTAATTTGTAGTATAGTGATTATGTGTTATTATAATTATTTTAGCTGTGTATATATATTATATATAACCTAACCTTTAATAACTAGAAAACTTCATTAAATACTTAATGTTTATATTATAATATTTTAATATAGGTACCTATAATACCTGTGCCGGTATGCATTAAGATGACAAGGTAAATTGCGGAAAATGACACAATATATTTGTTTGTCGTAAGTCTGCAAGTCTGTTACTCTTTTATAATTTAAGGATTATAGAAAAAACATCGAGGGTTCCACTTTTGAGAAGCTATTGAATATTTATATATATAAAAAAATAATCTAACTACCTACTGGCAAGTTTCATTTTGACAAAAAAATAATATTAATATAATATAACGTATATAATATTCTATAAATTAAATTTTATTCAGAAATAAAAAAAACTACTTAGGTACTAATAAAATTACTTCAAAAAACTTATGTTCAAACTTCAGCAAATAATACATGCATATATTATTATAATCACAATTTCATGCAAAAATCGTATTTCCCGAAGTTTTCAATTTTCCGGACAATTTTCTAAATTTTTCTTTTTGCAACAACCTTACTTGGAGTATAGTTTAGAAAACACCGACTAGCTCAATTATATAAATTGCGTTATCGAAAAAATATATTATTCTAATTTTGTAGTTTATAATTTTGGCAAGTATTTATTTACGACAGAGTGCGTAAATATAACTATAATAACGAATAAAATAAAATTGTGAATAATAGATCACTCGCAGAAGTATTTGGTACAACCTTGTGAAAAAAAAATTCAAAAAATGTTAAATAGTGTCGTCACAAAACTGGAACATAAAAAAAGCCAGTTCATTTTATATAAACAGGGATAAAAAATAACTCCCCCTCTCCCTCTCTTAAGACAAAAAAAAATTAAAAATCGAGCGACGTGGTGACACGCAGGACGGTATTTTTAACAATTGGAAAAAAAAAATTGGAAAAATGTTAAATAGTATCGTCACAAAATGAGAACATAAAAAAGGCTTGTTCTTTTACATATATATATATAATATTGTATTATATAAGGATTATTATTATTATTATTTGTTTTATTTATATTCAGTTACTACCCAATACTACTATTTAGTACTTGATAAAATTAAGTAAAATATATGTTTTTCTTCTTTAAAACACAACAATGTGTGTTGATTTAAGAATTTCATTTTATAAGAAAGTAGTAATGTATGAAATAGCTAATATTATATTATGAATTTATCATTAAAATTTAAGAACTTAAAATTGTAAAATATTAAAAAATAAATACTTTATTAACAACTCACAAGTCAATTAATTGTAGGTATTTTGTTGATTAGTTTATAATATAATCTTATAACCTAACCGTTTATCTACTCAATGTATCGACATGTGATTCATGATATAAAGTAATATTAAGTATACTTCCAAATAATAATGTAACTATAGAACTATGATATCACCTCAGAGCACGATTTAAGGATAATACTATCTTTAACCGTGAATAACACACATATTATATATTTACTACGCCTAGTAATTAGTATAGATATTTGTATTCTGTGACAGAATAAAATAGGTGATCTAAATAATTATAGTTCCTATATTTTACTCACAGTTATAAATAATGAATTATTATCTAGGTATATTTATGATTTTACCTAATGGTGAATTCGTATTCAGTGGAACCTCGATAACTCGAACTTCTATAAGTCGAATTTTCGATAACTCGAAAGAACGTCTTGGCCCCTACTTTATAATATATCATATGTGTAACCTCTGTAAGTTGAATTTTCGATAACTCGAATTTTTTTTCGCCCCCAACCGATTCGA